CATCCACGAACGATAATAATTTGAAGAAGACATGTTTTTGTGAACCAGATTCGTGTGTATAAGTGAGAGGATGAGAATATTGAGTGAATGAAAGGAGAGGAGGGGTGCTTGTATTTATAGATGAAATTCTGCCGACGATTCCGACGAAATTCCGACGGAAAACTAGTATTCCGTCGGAATATACAACGGTCATAAATATCCCTCGGAATTCCGTCGGAATATTCCGATGAAATTCCGAGGAAAATGTAAAATCCTCGGAATTTTCGAACTTTTCCAACGGCTCGTCAACGGCTATAATTTATCCTCGGAATGTCCTCGGTTTATCCCGACGGCATATAGTTTCCTCGGAATGTCGTCGGAATATTCCGACGGAATTCCGAGGAAACATAAAATTTGTGTTTCGTCGGAATTCCATCGGAATCCCATCGGAATTTTCCGAGGAACTGTGTGGCCGTCGGAATTTTCCTCGGAATAAGTCCTGTTTTCTTGTAGTGTCAACATGAAAAAGAACTACTAGAAAACAAAACTATTCATAATAATAAGATGTTTGCAAGGTACAAAAAAAGTCAATATATATTTTTGGGGTCACAAAAAATCAATATGTAATCTTGGACGGGTATTGCTTGGAGAAAGATGAAAATAGTAGGATAAAACCAAGTTGTCCATATGTGTATGATGATGCATGTATAATAACATCATTGTTATCAAGAAATCTTGACGATCTTTGGTTTAACCAATATAAGTAACAATAGCAATAATAATAGTAATAAGAGTCCAAATAAACAATTACAAAATATGTAAATGGGACAACATATATTCTCGTTACAATACAAGCCTGCATGAATCCAGGTAATCTACCTTTGCAACTATATATAGATAGTATTTTATCACACTATTATTAATTACACCCACAAAGTATTGCATTACTAATTTATAATTGTTTGCTTTTGCTTAAACCTGAAGATCATGCTTTGCTCAGCCATGACGGCCTTCGGTAGCAAATTATGATTATATTACTATAATCTTTTTCCTTGTTTGAAAACTTAATAGATTTTTGTTAATATATAGTACAACTCGTTCCATTTTAAATGATATACGTTTTTTTCAGTTTGGCAGATACATTTACTTTATGATAAGTTCTTGATCAGTGGATGGTTAAGGTAAAAAGTTTCAAGAGAAAAGGTATCGTATAGAAGGGATAAACATAAAATTACAGCGATCAGAAGAGTACCAACTATTCCATGTGCGCTGCCAAAAAATCACAGAGTATTAAGAGCCAGATAAAATAAAAAGGAGTTAAAAAAATATGGATATTATAAACGAATTATTAGATATCAAACAACTGGAGATTAATTAAGTAGTTAATGTGACAGATAATTAAGATCAAAGGACTACAGTTCGAATCTGATCAAAGGGAAAGCGAACAGGGAACATGCCGCGTAGTCATCATCCAGGTATGTGGGCTCCAACAAAGCATGTACCACAAATATTTTTAAAATTGGAGACATCTACGCATAACAAATATAATTATTTTGATGATTTGTACCTCCCCCTCAATAATCCTTGCTAGTATAGTAACCACATATAGAAATAAAAATAAGTCGAAATACGACTATAGTTAAGAACAATACATATATCATCAAAATTTTTTAAATAACTTTAAATTTCTGTCAGTATAAAAAAAATTCCAAAATTTATAGGTTATTTGAAAAGTACCATTTTTTCTGTTTCAAATATCGATTCTTTATATTTTGACCTTAAAAGTATACTTAATTTGATTATATATACAATATTTTATAACTAATTTTTTCAAGAATTTTAAAATAATAGTAATATAAGAAATTAAATATATATTAAATATTAATTAAAAGGAAATGTATAGAAAATGTAGAGAAATATTTTTAACTTTTCTAACAATTATCTTTCAAAAAAAAATAAAAAATTAACAACTAATATATATTTGAAGCCTTAGTGTAAAACATCAAAACAAAACTAACAACAGTAGTTAATTCATAAAATAAATGTGCTGTCGAATATATTACTATTAGCTAGTAATCTATGTCTCTGAATCTGAATTATTCGGTAACTAGTATATTACCCCCCCACACATAAAATAAACGTGCTGTCAAATATGTTACTATAACTACAAAATATGCTCGTGTGGGTAAACAGATTAATTACCGAATAATTAATGATTCGAAAAAAGGACAGAGAGGTTAAATGAGGCAATGCAAACGGTCACACACAAAGATTCGTGTCTCTCTCTCTCTCTCTCTCTCTCTCTCTCTCTCTCTCTCTCTCTCTTTCAAAAACTCTTTCCCCTTCTTCGGACAAATCCATCTTCTTCGTTACTGTCTCTTTCATCACAGACTTCAATACAAAACCTTTGAACCTTCCTTTAAAATAAATAAATAAGTACTTTTTTTTTTATTTTCTCTCAGTTCTGGTCTCTTCACCATAGAGAAACTTCACATGGAATGGTCTTTGTGAGTAGACTCTCTACCATTGCTTCTTCTTCGGGATGTGTTTGTTCCATTTTCGAAGTAACCAAGTGAAGACGAACAGACCCACCCACGTACGCATATTTTTTTAATTTTTTTTGTTCGTTGATCGATGAACGCAATTTTCTCGTTGTGGATTTGTTTCTTAGGATCTAAAAATGAGATCTTTCACTTTCTACTACAAAATTCAACTTCTGTGTGCTTTAACAAATTGTTCTTTTGATGGTTTTGTGGCTTACACATTGATCGACCACATAAGTTGTTTGTGGAAATGCCTCAGAGAGAGAGAGAGAGAGAGAGAGGAGAGGACTAGATTCAATGAGTTTTGGATTGAGATTGATGTTTTAGCTCTTTTGATTTATTTCTCAACTCATTTTCTCGAACTCCGTGATTGCTTGTTTTATAAACTTCTTTTTAATTTATTAATAATATTTCTAAATTTGTATTATATAATAGCCATTGCAGGTTTGATTGGTTGTAAGCAAAACTGGCAGTTGTGGATTCTCCTCTTTCATGGATTGAACAACGCTTAAGGAGAATACTTGATGGATTACTTGTCTCAAGAGGAAGATTTGCAATTCTTTGATGCCAAGGAAGAAGAGATGATGAAGGCATCAAATCCAAGTGGGTTTGATGTATGGAATGATTCACCTGGAAGTGTTGTTGAGCGGCGGAGGAAGTTCTTGCAGTGGATGGGAGTCCAAGAAGATCTTGTTCAACCCAAGTTAGCTTCAGAGAGTTGTGTTGAGGCTGAGCAGAGATCTGGAGGATTCAGCTGTTCTTCTAGTCAGGTATCTTCCTCTGCTTCAAGCCTAGTGGAAGTTTCTGAGGAATTGTCTCCGAGAGTGGATGGATGCGATGTAACGAGAAGGCAAAGCTCTTCAATGGCATCATCTTCTAGTTCCAGATGTTGTCAGGTGAAGGAAACAGAGAAGCAGAGCAATATCAACAAGGGATGGTTCACCAGGCTGCGGTCTTTTGGATGTTCCGCGGATACAAAGGTCATATCAAGTGGTGGAACCAGAGCTTCTTCTACCTATGGCGGTGATGTGATTTCAAGAGTTAAGGTCAAGCATTGTAAGAAACAGACCAAGGAGCTTTCAGCTCTTTATCAGAGTCAAGACATTAAAGCTCACAATGGTTCAATCTCGGCTATGAAATTTAGCGGCGATGGGAAGTGTCTTGCAAGCTCTGGTGAAGATGGGATTGTACGCGTTTGGAAAGTCATCGAGGATAAGAGATCTAGACCACCAAGGGATTGCCTTAACCCTTCTTGTATGTACTTTGAGGTAAACGATCTTTCCCAGTTGAAACCCGTTTTGTTGGATGAAGAGAAACCAACAGAAAGTTTCAAGAAAACATCTGATTCAGCCTGCGTCGTCTTCCCTCCTAAAGTTTTCCGGATAATGGAGAAACCTTTACATGAATTCCGTGGCCACACTGGTGAAGTCTTGGACATCTCATGGTCAAGGGATAATGTAAGCTTGCATTTATCTTTATTAACTTGCAATCATTGCTTTAATGGAAGTAAGAAACTGAGGCATTTTGTTATTGTAGTGTCTTCTCTCGGCGTCAATGGATAAAACTGTTCGTCTATGGCAAGTTGGTAGCAACGATTGTCTTGGAGTTTTTCCTCACAATAGTTACGGTATGCTTCTTCTTCTTCTTGGTGGATTCATAATCTCAGTTAATTACTACATTGATCTGACATTATCTGTTGCCTGCAACTTTATTTTTGTTTTGCAGTAACCTCGGTGCAGTTCAACCCGGTTAATGAGAACTACTTCATGAGTGGTTCAGTTGATGGGAAAGTTCGAATATGGAACATTTCTGGTTGCAGTGTTGTTGATTGGGCTGATCTCAAAGACATTATATCCGCAGTGTGCTACCGTTCTGATGGAAAGGGAGGAATAATCGGTTCTCTGACCGGAAGTTGTAGATTCTTTAACATTTCTGGAGACTATTTAGAACTTGACTCTCAGATACACTTGCCTAGCAAAAAAAAGTCTTCTAATAAACGTATAACAGGCTTTCAGGTAATATATTCTCTCTTTGTTTCTCCTTTGTCTTGGTGATTTGTGTACTCTTGACATAAGATATGCATGTTTTTTTCTCCAGTTCTTACCAAAAGATCCGAGCAAAGTCCTGGTTGTTTCTGCAGATTCCAAAGTCAGAATTCTTCAAGGCAACGATGTTGTCAGAAAATACAAAGGTAGATGTTGCTTCAAGTTTCATGTTCTTTCGAATAACTCTATGATTGATACTAAAACTTAATCGCTGTTTAGGTGTTTGCAAGACGAAGAGCCTCACATCAGTGTCTCTCACGTCTGATGGAAAGCACATTGTTTCAGCTTGTGAGGACTCTAATGTATATATATGGAGCAGTGCAGAGGAATCAGATTATTCCTCTCCCAAAAAGATTCGATGTTTTGAACGTTTCTCCACCAATGCATCATCCATTGCAGCAACCTGGTGTGGATTCTCAGACCACAACGCATCTCTCCCGTTTTCTTCACCCCCTTGCTTATCTGTCAACGAAGGATCAATCCCCAAAGGAAGCGCGACGTGGCCAGAGGAAAACCTACCCGAAAATCCTCTTTCATCCTCTACAATGACTGCATCTCACTACAAGTTTCTCAAGTCCTCATACCAGAGAGCAAGGCATAGCTCTCTAGCTTGGGGTATGGTCATTGTCACAGGCGGTTGGGACGGACGGATCAGAACATTTCAGAACTACGGCTTGCCTGTGACTGTAACTTGAATATATAAAACCGGTTTTATTTCCTAACTTGGGAAAACAAAACCAGATGCCATTGTTCCTTGAACACATGGTTCTGGCAGGTCTTTTGGAGGCTATGGTAGGTCCAAAAGAAACCTAGATCCACTTTCTCAGACTTCTGCTATTGCCAATAGTCAAGAAAGAGATTCAAAAGCAAGTCCCTCCAGATTATGATCCTGTAGAAGATCTTTTAAGAAGGGGTCAGTGGGAGATTTTCCATTGGTTGATGCAGACGCAGGAGGTGATAAGGAACATATGTTTCTTGCTTTGGCAGTAAGTAGCGGTTGGAGATGGTTTCAAAGAGTACGGTTCTGTCTGAAAATATTGACAGGCGATTGTGGGGTCTAAAGAAGAGGCAAAAAGTAATCATGGTAAACGAGTGGTTGAAGGTGAAAGATGCTGATGTTACTTCCATAGAAAATATCCTCCTCCATGCTTATATGAAATTTCTAACGGTAGTTAACGTTTTGTTTGTTACTCATTTGTAGATTCAGTGTAATTTTATTCTAACGAGTAGTTGAGTTTATTAGTTGATTGTTTAGCTCCCTCCACACCTCAGAGAGAGGCTCAGGAGCTTTATATTTGTAACTTGTATACAACAAAAACTTTTATTTAAAAATAATATGATTTCAACTTTTACAAATTTCCAAAAAATATCACTACCTAGATATATGGTCTTAGTAATAAGTATTATCAAAGCATACAAAGGTAACTAAAATAATTTACTGAATTTATTCCTCTACTGTAATTTTAATAATCAAAAGTTCAGTTGAGTTACTTTTATTAAAAATTGTGATGTTGTATAGTTACATAACACTGAAGGTTTAAACAGTATGCAAACAATGTGAAAGTTTGGAAGAGGAATCAACAACTCCAAATGATTGTCAGTTGGAAATTCACTCTTATAGAGCATTCAAGTAAAAGCATAACATATGCTATTTTGAGAGTAGATTCTAATGCTTGGATTACTACCCAAGATTTGTAATCAGTTGTATGTAACAAAGTTTAGATGTCGAAGCTACTGCTTTGACATAGGCTATGACATGTATTGATGTTTTGTGTCTCCTGGAATAGTGTTTGAGAGGGATGCAGCGGATCTAGTGAAGAGAGTTCACAAATCAGCAAGATTGGTTATCATCATCCATGATAGTTAGGCTTTACAAAAAAATTATAGTTAAGGAACGTAAACAAACAAGCGCGCATCTGGTGTAGTGGTATCATAGTACCCTCCCACGGTACTGACCAGGGTTCGATTCCCTGGATGCGCATATTTTTTTCTTTCTTTTATTTGTTATTATTTTGTTCTTTTAGTTTTAGGTTTTGTTTTGTTTTGTGACATCAATAGTAGTGACAGCTATTACGATCTTTCTCCGTTTAACTGTTAAACACGAATATATGTCAATGCGAAGAAATAGAGTGACCGTATTATCTATTTATCTGCAGAGCATTAGCCTTAGAGTTTTCATATTTTTGTTATCACCACTAGGTGTTTTTCTGCACCATGTCAAAAAAAAGTTTTAAAAATAAAATTATATTTAAACATAAAATTTAGTTAATTTTTAAATTTATTATTTTTATATTATTAATTTTACGTTATATGTAAAAATTAAGATAAAATAAACAATTTTTATTTCAATTTAAATTTAATAATATATATATGTATATATGTATATATGTATATATTTAAAACTAAAATGTTGGAAATATTTTTTTATCTTTTTTTGTTAAAATATGTTAAATCAGATTATATACAATTAGGAGAAAAGTTTGTTAGGTATATAATTATCAAAATATAACATTAAATAGTATTTATTAAATTTATAGATGTTATAAATAAAATTAACGGTATTGTGATTAGAAAATTAGAATTTTTATAAAACTCGCATAAAATTTTGCAAAAAATAATTAATAAAAACTATACAATTATAAAAATAGACTTGAGTTTCAAAATTTATAAATATTGTTATATTTCTATTTCTACTATTATATTATTTGTTGTTATGTTAATGATAATTTATAAGTTATTACCATATTCTAAAAACTTACCAAAAATATATATTAACATTAAATGTAAATGTACATGTCACTATTAACTGCAAAATATGCCATTATTATTAGTGAACACATCATTAATTTTTTGGTAAAATTGATTTTAGTGATGAGATGACACATGTCAAAATCACTTAACAAATAATATAAAACTAGGATAAGACCCGCGCCTTGAGCGGGATGAAGCTATTATTATTATTATGTTTTGAAAAATGAAACAATAGTTCGGTTTCATTCGGATTAGAGGTGTTCAATCCGGATATCGGGTTTCGGTTCGGCTCGATTTTTTGGTATTTCGATTATTAAAATATAAATACTATTCTAAATCTATATGTACTTCAGTTTGATTTGGTTTATATACCATCAGTTTTCAGTTGATTCAATTTTATACCAGAAAACATAATTATTTAGTTTGAGATCATATTATATATTATACAAATATATATTATGATCATATTTAGAGTCATATTGTCACAGAGTTATTTATTAAAAAATATTTAATATTTAAATAAAAGAATAAAAAACAAAAAAGGCTTCTATCATCTAATAAAATGATCAAATCTAGAATTAATATCAAAACACTAAATTTTGAAAATAAAAATAAAAAACAAAACAGAAGCATGAAAGAAATTTTTTTATATTCTTCCATATTTAGTGTTCATCAAACCAATATGTCTTCGATTGAACACAACTCTGTTTGTTTAAAGATAAAAAAAAGTTGTAAAAAATTTCAACTAATTGTTGTCCATCAAATTTATAATCTTTACTTCAATTTAGTTACTGTTAAAAAAAACAAAAGATCAAAATAAGAACTCTTAGTTGTAATAAATTGTTAGCTATTTACAAATTATAATTATAGTTCAACTCATGTAACAAATAGATATTCATGCGTCGTTATAAATATATACACATATTTACATGTTTCAGTTTAATCGGTTATAAATCAAACTATATCCAAATCCTATGGTTTTTATAAAACCACATTCATTCGGTTTGTATGGTATATAACAAAAATAACCATATTATCGATTGTTAATATCTTTTAAAAATATAAAATTAAAAAAAGAACTAAGATATTTAAATCATTGATAACAAAAATTTTCAATGTGAAAAATTTAATAAGTTTATAATTTATAAATGTTCTTGAAAATTTATTGAAAATTTTGAAATTAAAATATTTATGTAATCTTATATGGTATATAGTTTAATCTGTATATATATTTGTTTTATTATTGAATGATACTTTTTACTTATATGGTTTTAAAATCATGTATATCTTTTTATAATAAAAATGTTAAACTATTGATCATTAATTTTTAACATAATAATTTTAATAGTTTAGTTATTTAT